TGTTTAAAAATTTTAATGTTCTTCATTCAGTGAAGTTGTTTCCTGCATCAATTGTACTGAAATAAGCATAGTGTTACTTAATAATAACATTACTCAAGAGAAAATAAGTATAGAGGAAGTCTATTGTTTTCAAAAAACTGAACTAAATCAATGGATCTGAGAAAATGTAAAGTAACTACTACTCACCTCTAAGTCATTAGTCACATTTGACACCTATAAAAAGCATATGGGTGGACTTGATCATAAAGCTGTGTGCTTTATTGATATTTTCTATCTTTTCACATTGTGTTATTAATATTAACTGAGTGCATCTGTTTATCATTCAACTTTTGATGCAACATAAACAGCATTTCTATGAAAAAAAGAACAAACCAACCATCATTCTTCATGCCGTTAGCACCCAATAAAGTCTGAATTGAACTCTGGATCTTCTATTATTGATACTGTGTTTATTTGGAATTGCCTTTTCTGTTTTGTTTGACCCTTTTTTTAATGCAGTTTGTAAACAGAGCAGAGAATCTCTTCACTTTGATTTCTCGCCTTGATGCTCTTGCTAAAACGTCTGCATCTAAATATATAGTTGATCACCCTAACAAGTTGGTGGCAGATGTCTTTTTTTGTTGTTGCTGATTGCGATTTGAAGCTCTGCGATCAGAATGATCAGAATGTTTCAGCGTGTGGGCAGGATCCGTGCAAACTACAAAGTATGAATTCATAATGACAACACCCTGTTAAACAGAGCCATGTCAGAGCTTTGAAAGCCATAACATGTTTAATGTCTCAAACTGAAGCAATCACAGCTTGTTTCCTGGCCTAATTTTTATATGTCAGCCATCTGCTTCGTTTTGTTTATCCGGCTGCCGGTCTAAGCTTTCACCTTGGACAGGTGCCGCTCAGATGGTTGAGCAGGTTGCGCTCTAATTGAAGAGCAGGCGCTTCGATCTCTCAGCTCCTCGACATGCCATTGTCCTTTGAAAAGCCACCCAGTTGAAAGATGCTTCACATCCGGAGCCACAGAGGATAGTTGTTTAGTAAATCAAAATCTGCACTGTTAAATAGCCTTATTTAAAGTTTCTTTCAATTGCATCCAGAGGAAGTTTTTGTCTTAATAAAAATCACAAATTTCTTGTTGTTTTATCTGATTTTATGATTTACCAAAACAAAGTAAAGCACTATCGACATGGAAGGAACATAAAATCCTATTAACAAAATATATTTTTTGAACTTTTGAAAATCTGAAAAGTGCGTATTGCATTTGTATTTAGCCCCCCTTTACTTACTTGTACACTTACTTGTATACCCTTTATTACATTCCTGCTGTACCAAATTCACTTGCTATTAATTTGCTCTCCATATAAATTCACTTGTTCTGCATTCTATGAAGGACTTATGGATTTCTTAATAAACATTGGGGCAAAAAAAAACAAGATAGAGAGGAGTTAAGAGGTTTTGAGCAAAGATAGAGTATAAATCAATACCCTCAGCTTCAAATCTGTGAAGACATGACCATTGATAACATGTCACACATCACCCTGTTCACCACACCCCTCTATATTCTGTAGCTGTGAAAGCAGCCTGCTGCAGTGACGTCTCTAAGTAGGATTAGTGAATGGAACTAACACCACAAAGCACTCTAAACAAACGATTTTCTTATTCTAATACAGCGGTGGCAGCATCATGCTGTGTGAACTATTTATTTACATGCAAAAAGCTTTGGATAAAGCCTCCCAGTCTGTTTTTCCTAATTGCAGAGTTCATAGAAGTCTCTGCAGACGCATGTAGCCCAGATTTGTATAAATATTACACAAATTCAGCGAAGGCTTTTCAGATGATTTATTTATATATATATATATATATATATATATATATATATATATATATACCTTTTTACAGCTTTTTAGATTATTGGTCTGTCACATAAAATGCTTATAAAGTATAATGTATGAAATGAAAAGTGAAACTGGGATATTTTGTGACATCGGCAGTTAATTTTGTGGTAATTTACCTCTAAGATAAATGTGTATGCAGCATTAATGTAACCTCCCTGAGTGAAAACATTAAAGGGTTTGAATAGTTTAATTACAGAAAGGGAAGGAGGTTCCATTCCAGCTGTTATGAAGATGGAAGCTGCCTTCAATTCCATGTCAATAATGTGAGCGTCGAACAATCAGAGCTGAACTGATTGGTCGTTGCTGTTGCAAAACTAAACATTAGGCTCATGCACTTTAACTGCTCTGCTGCTCTGGCAGCTGTTGAGGCGTTGCCAGCTCCGTAATGACTGCCCCGCTGGTGATGCTTGTCTCAGCACTTTGAAAATGGCTCTCATTTTGCGTCTCCATGCTCTTTTTCAGCACCGGCAAATGAAAAATATATTGGAACAGTTCTATTACACGGCTACAACCGCTGAACCACAGGGTTGCTCTTATGGCTGTTCATCAGCAGCATTAAATGAAACCACTTCCAAAGAACAAGTGTTGACATCACGTTTTTTTTAGATGTTTGCATCCTTGCCGCGCTGGGTTCTAGTGTTCTGGAAGTCGTCTGGGAAATAACCCAGGGGGAAAAAAGCAAGATGGAAGAGCTTGTTGATTCGGTTTCTAAAACGCTGGCGGGCAAAGAGCTTTGGCCTAAAATTTCAGCTTAAAAACAAAAGAACAAAGGCGCAATCTCTAAGCATGTCACAAAACTGTTGAGATAAAGTTATGAGTGTTTGTGTTCACAAATAATCAGAGAGCTACATGTTTCCTAAGCAGCCAAGTTGTGCTAATGGTTCACGTTTGCCTTTTTGCTGCCATTCCATTGGAGACTGAACCCTGTCGCTGTCTGGGGTTGGATTAATAGAACTGACAGAGCAAAACAAAGTGCAATAAAATTATGCTTTTTATTACCCTGAGAAACAAAAACAGCAGCTTGCTTCTGCACATTTTTTAATGATTCATATGTTGTAGTTTTTTTTTTGTAATTTTTTGTAAGGCAATTATTATCAGTTAAAAAAAAATAATTTTTTTTTTTATTATCGACATTTACATTTTTTGATCTTTTTATTTTAGCGGTCAACTTGTAGACTTTTCTAAACTTTTTAAGAGCAATAAATCAATAGCATATTCTCATGTCTTTCCCATTAGAGAAATTAAATTTGGATTGTTCGAATCAAAGGAAAATAGAAATTCATTGATTTCGAATAAAAGCTTCTAAACACTCTAGAAAGGTAAAAAGTTAAAACATTATTACTAATTATCATCTCATTACATTTGGATGTATAAGTAGTGATTTTTGAATGGGTCAAAAATAGTGTTTTTTAGTATTTAATGTTTATGGATCACAATCTCATCTAAAGTGGAGACTATTACAGCTTGATTCTCATAGTTTACCACTGGGAGCTAGTTAAATAGTGTAGAATGATAACTTATAACTTTGCTTTAGAAACTGCATTATTTTAAGAGTGATGGAAGTTGCACACTTTTCATTCTCTTCAATAAAGAACAGAAAACAAATCGACAAACTGTGCTTTGTCTGACTGGAAAATCTTAAAACAGCCCAAAAAACCTTTAGTAGTGTTCTATTAGCCAGCTGACCATCCATCCATCCATCCATCCATCCATCCATCCATCCATCCATCCATCCATCCATCCATCCATCCATCCATCCATCCATCCATCCATCCATNCATCCATCCATCCATCCATCCATCCATCCATCCATCCATCCATCCATCCATCCATCCATCCATCCATCCATCCATCCATCCATTTTCTCCAGCTTATTCCTTGTCGGGGTTGTGGTGGGGCCAGTGCCTATCTACAGCAGTCTTTGGGCAAGAGGCGGGGTACGCCCTGGACAGGTCACCAGTCTGTTGCATGGCAACATAGACGGACAGAGACACAGAACCATGCACACACACTCTCATACTTAAGGACAATTTAGAGAAGCCAATTATGGTAAATGGCCTATACTACTATAACTTTGGGCAAGTCAGAGAACTTGACCAAAGCGATTTACACTACATTCAGTCATCTGTAGCTGAGAGAAAGCGGCTCTGGACTCACTGCAGGAGGTGGGAAACAAAGGATCCTAACTAAATTAACATCTCTGTTGGATAATGTGTCCCACCCAATGCATTAAGCTGTTGCAGAACTGGAGAGCTCCTTTAGTGACAGACTGCTGCACCTTAAATGCACCAGGGAGCGTTATTACAGATCCTTCCTCCCAGCAGCTGTAAGACTTTATAACCATTGCTGTACCAAACAACCTCAATAAGGTGTTACATTCATGCTGATTTTGTACAGTTTCTACCTTAGCCAGATAAATGTCATTTGTCATTTTGAACATCTCTGATTTTGCAGCTAATTTCAAATATTCATTACTGTAAAAATGTCCATAGCTGTATATTGGTTATTTATTTTCAAGGTGCACAGTTTTATATTGTTAAAACACTTTACAGTATTTCATTGTTTACCTGTTAACTCTTCACTAGTATGTTATTATTATACATTTTTCTAAGGTCTAAATTTGTGTGACCATTTTTTCTAAACACCAGCATTTCCCCATTATGGGAAAATAAAGGGATTTTCTATTCTTTTTTATTCTATTCTATTCAAACATTCACTTACACACTCAAACACTGATGGAGGCAAGCTACACTGAAGCCACCAGTAATGTTTTTGGACTATGGGAGGAAGTTGGAGTACCCAGAGAGAACCCATGCATTCACAGGGAGAACATGCAAACTCCATGCAGAAAGACTTGGACCGGGAATCGAACCATAAACCTCCCTGCTGCAAGGCAACAGTGGCAGCACTGCATTTCTGCTATTCTTTAGACCGTGAATGTTTTAGTAACTCTAGAGTTACTTTTTCAAAGTTTTTTTTACGTCAACTTTTTTCACCTTGTTCATAGTAACTTAATTATACCTATTGAATACCTAATATTTATTAGTAAGGAAGCATATTAGTTGTGTTTTTCTTTTTGTTAATCAATGTATCTTTTTTGCGGTCTTAAAGGGTGCTGGAGTAAAACAGTAACAGCCCCCCCTGGTGGTGTGGAGGAATGAGGGCCTCTGGATGAAGGCCATGGAGCTGAAAGTCTGGGTGGACGGAGTCCAGCGCATCGTATGTGGTGTCAGTGAGTTCACAACCTGCCAGGAAGTGGTCATCGCTTTGGCACAAGCAATTGGTGAGTTCACTGCTCCAAAGTATTCAACAGAATATTTTTGCTGCATACTTTTTTGACAGGAAAACATAGATGGAAATGAGAGTTGTCAGTATGATTTAGATGATATTTTAGAAATGATCAATTTGCATGTGCTCTGTGATGTGGTTGATATTGTGTGGGCATGTTTTCAGACTGACTCCAGTTGATAAATTGCACAAAGATGAAAAGTGACTGGAGGGCACAAAGATTTTCCCCATAAATAAGCCCTTACAAAATGAGATGAGTCATACTGCAGTCGCTGGTTTATTGACAAGTGCTGCGGTGCTGCAGAGAAATAAGTTAGCAAGCTGCCTTTAGTAGACAATATGTGAGCAGTTTGGAGCGGATGCCTTTTTTAAGATAACAGTTTTTTAGCCAAGCCTTCGATTAGAGCTGGAACATGCCTGTCAAAGTGGCAGCATAGCTAGATTTGTTGCATTCACTGTCCTTTTTGTCCTCTTTGCCTTTTGTTCAGGCCAGGCCACTTTGATGTAAATGGCTGCAGTGATGAATGCAACTATTCTTTTTTTCTTTAACAAGGATCCTTACTGTGCAGGATGGGGAGTGAGGGTGAAACGGGCAATGCTCTGCTCTTATCTACATGTGTACAGACTAGAATGCAGAGCGCGCACACATGTACACACCAAGGGGGAAACCGTGAAAACCCATTGAACCTCCATCTCCTCACAATCGCCGCTTGTTGAGTTGGATTTTCCCACCGTAAAACTCTTTCAATCTACACGACGGTGGGGTTCTTTGAATGCGCTGGTGGTTCACCGGCGTGGGAGAGCTGTGAAAGAACATGATGAATAAGTTTTGTTCTTTTCATGCCACGAGTCTGACTTTCATGCTTCTGCTTTCCAAGTTTATTTGGATTTTGTTGACAGTATAGCATCTGGTCTGGCCTCATATTTACACAAAAACATTCATCCCACTTAAAAATTTCGCATTTTACAGCCACAAGCTTCACAGAATGGATCTTTATCGACATTTTCAGTCATATTTTACCTTCCTTTATCATATACTATAGAGCTCTGGATAGTTAAACATTAGCATTGATTTTCAAATGGTGGCTCCATTTCTGTTTCGGATCGAACCTCTGCCCTAGTCTCAGTTTCACAGTGGGGATTGTGTTTATATGTTTTTGTGCAGGGTTACTGTGTTGCCATATTTACCGTTAATTATGCGGGCAATATAAAAAGCTATTTTTGGGACAATCTAATCAGATCCTTTCTTTTGCCAAACTGCAAAAACAATATCCTCAGCAGACAAATACAAATGAAATTCTTCTTACTTTTGTGTTAAAGAATGTAAAAACTGCACATTTGAATTGGAGACTGATGCTTTAATTAGCTTTTTACCCACCAGGACGGACTGGCAGATACACTTTGATTGAGAAATGGCGAGACACAGAGCGCCACCTGGCTCCACATGAAAACCCTGTGGTGTCCCTCAACAAGTGGGGTCAATATGCCAGCGACGTGCAGCTCATCCTCCAGCGAACCGGCCCCTCCATCAGCGAGCGGCCGACCTCAGACGGGTTGGCTCGGGTCCCAGAAAGGGGGCTCTACCGACAGAGCCTCCCGCCTTTGGCCAAGCTCCGGCCTACAGGGACGGAGCGCTCCATCAAACGTAGGGAACCCAAACGCAAGTCTCTGACCTTTACCGGGGGAGCCAGGGGCCTGCGGGAAATATTTGGAAAAAGTAAAGATACTGAAGGTATTGTTATAGCAAGAAATATTTTGTGCCATTTTTAAAGAATTTCCTGCAAGGGATTAATAAAGTAATTCTGATTTATAACTTTAATGGCAGTATTTGTATTTTGTACTTTCTCCTATTAGGCAAACAGCCTCAGCATCGTGGTGTTAGCCTGAACCTGAGCAGAGTTGGCGGCGGTGGAACTGCATCTGTACCTGGGAGCCCGGCCAGGGAGCTCAGCCGGCTGGTGCAGCTGCAGAGAGACAAACTGCAGGCCCTGGAGGGCCGTCTGCTGGGCTGTGAGGCTGAGCTGCGAGACTGGGAGGAAGCCAGTGATGTGAATCAAACCACAGCCAACCAAATATTTCTCTGAAAGGATCAAAACGAATCACAGCAATAACTTCAATTATTTTCCACTTAGCAGGAAGGAAACCTGGAGGATGAACTTCAGCTTCTGGAACAGCAGGCAAGGAGGAACGATGCGGAGATGCAGGAGGAGGAGTTTTGGCAGAACGAGCTCCACATTGAGCAGGAGAGCGAGCGGAAGCTGAGGCAACAGCTCGCCGAGCTGCAGGGCCGCGTGCATGACAGCGAAGCTAAGCTATCAGAGTATTTAGCACGGATTCAGGTGAGCTCTTCACCACAGAGAAGCTGCAGGATTCTGGTGTTTTTACTGGATCTGTGAACGGCATGTCAAACTAACAAGACTTGCAAACAAAAAGCTTTCCAGACAGTTATTTTGCATTAAAGAAGGAAAAAATGTCCACATTTTTGAAGTGCAAAGTCAGTAGAAATGTACACCAGAACACCTACAGCTGTAACGTTAAAAACAATCTATATATTTACTTTTAAAACCTTCTACACTACTTTCTACAAATACATTGTAAATTGTGAATGCAATATAAAGATATGTAAAAAATGTTTAATGGGTGCAAAATGTGTTGCAAGAAAGAAGATCCCAAATAGATGACAGTTGTTTCCTGCTTTATTTAGAGTATGGAGACAGGCCTGGAGAAGGAGCGACTGCAGCAGGAGGCTGAGCTCAACCTGAAGGTCAAGGAGGAGGAGGTACAAAACATTTTATCCTGCCTTTCCAAACACTTACCAGGCTGGAAAGAGAAAGGAATGTCCTGTGTTTAATCAAGTGACAAATAAGAGGTTTATCTCAAGAAGAGTTTTTTTCTTCTTGATTTAAAAAATTTAATTTTAACTTTGCTTCTTTTCTTTTTCCAGGAGAGCTATATAAGCTTTTACGCCCCTTTCCTCCATTTTCCTTTACGTTTTTTTGATGAGTGTTTTCCTCCCACCCCTGATTGCAGGTGCAGGTCCAGCTGGATAAAGTGAGGGCAGAGCTCGAAGTGCAGAGCCAACAGACGGCACGGCTGGAAAGCAGCTGCAAGGCGTTGGAACGATTGCTCTGCCAGTCGGGTAAAAGACTCCAGGTCGGCTCGCGTTTTCCTTTTTTTATCAGTCTTTTTTGGCACAGCAGCTTTAGAGCTGTCAGGCATTTACAGCATTTTGTGGGGGGATTTTTCCTCCAGAAAAAAACGTGTTCCAAATAGGTTAAAAAGTCGAGAAGTTTTTGAAAAGGTTGTGAAAGTTTTTCTAATTTTTTTTTTTTAGTCTAGATAACTTGGCACTGCAGAGAAAAGCCAGTCATCTGCACACAGGTGGAACATAGAAGTCTAAGCTCCTGAAATTGCAACCAGCGATGCTTGCTGGGATGTGCAGTGGATCTGTGCTTCCTCTTATGAAACGAAATTCCCTTTACAGATATCGCCTGCTATGATGTGAGGAGTATGAAGTAATAAGAAGAGGGGAGGGTATTAACAGCATTCTTTGCCTGATTAGAGAGAAATACGCAATCCCTTTCCTGAGGTTGCTTAACCGTCTTGCAACCTGCTTTTGCAACTAGGTTATGGCTTGAGGGATATTGAGCAGATTATACTGCCTTTCCTCTTGCATCTTCTCACATTAAAAACAGATTTAAAAAAATATTTCCTGTAACAGATCAACTCAAAGTGTAAAAAAAAAAAATACATTAAAGCCTTCCTTTGTCTATTTTCCTGTAAAGTAGCTCAAGCTTTTATTTAAATGGCGCTTCCACCTCGATGCATCATAGTCTTAGTTCTCCTCCACAGTTGTTTAAAGTTAGAAATTTCACTTTAAGCTCCATCTGCTCCAGTTATGAACTTCTGTATGTTTGACTGTCACATATACAGTCCAGTGCACAGAGGTTTGTGTTTGTAACGTCAGAACACATGAAAAGCATCACTGTCCTTATTATGAAATAAAGGGATAGAGGTGGAGGAGATTCATTTAGTTACCACAGTGTTTTGTTTTTCTGTCTCAGGAGAAAGAGCTGGAGCTTGAGCAGCTAACAAAAGAGCTGCGACAAGTGAATCTGCAGCAGTTCATCCAACAGACTGGCACCAAGGTCACGGTGCTGCCTGCTCAACCCACAGGAGAGAACAACAATGGTGAGCGCAACTCCAAGAACTGAAAGCAGGCAGAGGCACACGAATGTCTGAGAAAAGAGCCAGTTTCATAAAAAGTTCAATTTCATAGCTCATTACCCTTTTGGCTCATACCTTGTTTACACCCTATTGATGTTCTCTGTGTGGGATCTTACTGCCACCTGGTGGTTAAAAAGAATAACACAAGCTTGTAACTAGTTTTATTTTGGGTTATGTCTGCAAAAAAAAAGAAGATGGAGGGTTCTTAGTTATCTCTTGTATCTACAGATTTGGAGTGCGGCTCTCTGAAGCGACTCGGCTCCTCACGACTATTACCAAGTGATCTTCGCGCCCTGCAGAGCAGGGTCTCCTCCAGCCTAAACCCAGAAGGCATCTATGTCTAACTCCCTACACTCGATGCAGCTGGGTGGCTTGACGCTTCTACAGCTGGGTATAAACACAGGAGTTTGAGAATCCTTTTCAGGAAAAGCAACTTTTACTTCTCCAAACCAGGATTGGGACATAAACTGATGTCATCATCTGTTTGCACACTAACAAACAGTGAGTTTTCCTCCTGTGCTGGTGCATAGTGAGGTTAAAAAAAAAAAAAAACAGTTCTGAACCTACAGACTTTTCACTAGCGGACTGTTTCAGACTGTTTGTAAATGAAAAGAGAATTTCAGGAGGTGTATCTTAAATAAAAGTAGATGCATGGACATGCACACATCTGTGCTATAATCATAGCCATATCTGATTGCCTTACTCTGGTTAAAAAATGAAAAATAAACCTGACTTAAACAATTGTCATGTCAAAGTAAAACTCAAGGTATCTTTCAAAATGCCATAAAAGATTTAAAATGTTAGGTAGCAACCCAGTAGGCTGGTCTTTTTTATGTCAGAAATTAGATCTGGTATTTTTATTATCCATGGATTTAGAGTTTTATATTAATTCATTAGCTTTAGAGTAGCCATTTACTTTTTTTAACTCTGACATTTAAAATCTACTGATAATACACAGTATAGGCGGTTTAAAAACCGTGTTAAGGGGTCTATAGAGTAACATGCATGCAAAATTAAACGAACAAGCGACGTTAAATGAATGGCCACCAGGTGGCGACAAACACACATTATTCAGGTTGTTATCCCAATGGATGCCATCTTTAGGGTTGGTGTAGTTTTATGAGTTTCTACTCATATGTTCACTGGTCATCTTTGAATGTTCAAATTGTTTTATAAAAAAAAAAATGAGCTTTAGCACTTTAGATATGAATGTGTAAAAGTGCCACTATGTATTTTTTCTTTTTTTAAACATTTTAACAAAATAAACATGTCTTATTCGAAATTCAAAACCAAAGCTAGTGTAAAAAATGAGTAGTTAGATGAATGTAATTTTATATAAAGATATATAGATGCATATATATGTAGCCTGGGTGAAACACTGTTAACATGCAATATCTTTGTGCTCTGAGAAACCATATTTGTTGGGAAGTACAAGAAAATGACACAGAAATGTGCAAAAGCCGAAACTTTTAATCTCCAAATCATCACATATTCCGCATTAAAGATCTCCATAAAACAGCATCTGCTTTAAAAAAAAAACAGAATTATATCATTCGTTTTCATAAACCCCTGAATATCCATCGTAATGCAAATAATGCCTCTTTCACCTATTTTTGTGGACAGACTTAGCATCCATTGAAATACGGACATATGATTGTGGTTTTAGATGAAGGAAAAAAGGATATAATGAAAGGATGGTTCACCAGATCTGAGAATATTAAAACAGTCTTCATCTTTGTCTGAGTCTTTTATTTTGAAGTAAGAAAGGAAGCCATTTCTGTAGTTGGCAAATAAAGGCAGCTCCTCAGGATGGCACACGTTTATTTAGAAAAAGTATTCAAAAAGCCACAATCACTGTTATACATATTTATAGCATTAGTATTAGGATTCAACAAAACAAAATAAAATGTATTAGTGTGATGGACAAACATTTGTAATATGATAGACTTACTGTTAGCTATTTAAAACGCAGTTTAACAGTCCCAAAATCAGGATAAGAAAATCAAACAACTCCAAAATCAAGTCTGTAAAACATCTGTAAGCATAAGATAATACAGACACGACTAACTTTTATAAAATTACCAATGCTAACAATGCATTTACTCCACTTGGTGATCAATTAAATGGCTTAATCCTCACTAGTTTAAAATATTTCTAATCAGATCTTAAACGGATAAAAATCTACCTTAAATAAACGCTCCTAATAGCATAAAATATATTGAAAACATGTATATAATTCAAACTGCGAATGGATAAAAATCTACTACTTTTATTTCCTTGTAATAAAACAATAGCAGATAATTTAATAACAAGGCAAGGCTTTTGGGCCACTTTTAACATAATCAAATCGTTATAATCCAGCAACAATATCATAAACTCAGTGTATATATATATAATGTAATTAAAGATTTAGATATTCTAAGTAAATCAAATCAGCTCTTACAAGTGTATTTAAGAAGAAAAAGCGGTGCTTATTGTCCACTCCTGGTGAATAAATAAAACTACAAATCTAAAATGCCGATTTGGATGCAGAAAAATGCAAAACGATTTTTTTATTTTCCTCAAAAATTTCAGTCATGTATCTTTATAATTTCATTATTGGCTCAGGTTGTAATATTTTCAAATGATTTTTTGTTATAGAACAGCAATAAAGTACAAGTCAATGATGTTACTTGTTACATTATCAGCAAGTTATGGTGTGATTGGCTTTATTGCATCTAAAATAACCAAATTATCTTTATTAGTCATTGTTTCTTTACTGTTTTCTGCAATCACTATAAAAATTGATGTTTTTTTACTCTGTCTGCTGATTTATTTGGGTTTTAAGTTGGTGCGTGTGTAAACATCCATGTTTAACACACTTTTCAGCCTCCAATCAGTATTCATCAAAGGCTGCTCTCTTGTTTCAGAGCACTTTTAATTTGTGCAGCTATAAATCTTTTCTTATCCACGAGATTGAAATTTCTTTGCGGTTTCTTTCAGAGTGATAAACAACCTCAGGTGTTTTCTTTTCTCTCTCTCTCTCTCTCTCTCTGCAATTACTTCATTTGACAAGCTGGAAATCCAACTTGAGCCTTTTGTAAAGGTCCTCATGCTTGTGCTTTGAATAAGTAACGACCAAGTGAGGTTCACCCTGTGCTTGTTTAGCAACTGAAGACATTCATATCCCCACTTTAGCTGAACCTTTCTGTTACTGTTCAGTGAGTGAAAATGATTGTTCTATTCGCAGAAATCTCAGCTGGAGACTGCAACAAAAGGAAAGTTTTGAAAAATGACACACTTTAACAAGAACATAACGTCTACATACCATGTCAGGCTATTCTTATACTATTTTGAAGTCTTATATAATCAGATTTCCAAGCAGTAGAGTGTGTATGCTAATTTGTGTGTGCTCCTATTTGGTCTATCAATTAATTGCTACCAAGCATCCCTTTTTCTAACATATATGAGCTCAGAAAAGAAATGGCAAAACCTCCTCATTATTTTTATTCCTTTTTTTTTTTTCCCCATTTGACAACAATAACACTTCTGAACGTAAAAGAGATTTGTGTTGCATTGAAACATAAAGTCAACCATCATTGCATGGATTTTTTTATTTCTTTTTTTTGCCTCCTTCCGATTCAAGCTTAAAGACATGGCCAATAATTGGCTTCTGTTGTGCCATCGCAGTAAGAGTGCACACACAAATGAGATGATGGAGCCATTATGGAAACAGCCATCACGAGGTTTTAAAAGCCATTTGAGATCCGCCGTGGCCCAGGGATATTTCAAGGCACACAGAATCACCCAGATGAGAATGGACGGAAAGTAATTACGGATAAATGCTTTTCGCAACGTCTGGGTTCATTTGACACGTTAAATCGAATGTTTGCTCTCATGGGGACTTCAAGAGTTTGACAAGTTGTTGCGCTGCCTCACTGACATGATGCAACATGTGATTATTGTGCACCGGCGGATATTTGGAGGAAAAGTGTTTGAGTTTCTCAAAGTTCTTGTTGTGCCTCATGGATAATAACAGATGCATGAGCATATACATTAACGGCACACCTTTGGTTTAAATACTGACTCTGTGGTGTAATCCTGCTCTCTAAACATCCCTCAGATTGTTAATAGAGGTAAATAGGTCACTAGGAGCTCAAAACATAATTTTGTATTTTCTAAATATATTTTTTTATCTTTCAGAATTACCCGATTGTCCTTTTATGTTAAAGACCTGAAATATGTAAATACATTTAAAAAAAAAGCATTTAGGAAGATCAACAATCAATAAATCAGCTTCTTCTAAGATCTCTGCTTCTTGTCTGTTTGATTTGTTTGCTTTTATGTAAAACATGTAAAAATGTTTTTCTTTATGGATATAAAATAGCTTGGTGAAAACCTACCCTGATATGAAAACAAATTATTCATATAGTGTTAACCCCACTTAATTGTTTAAAGCATGAGCTTTTCAGCACATCCACACTTATGTGGAAGAGAGACAACTTTATTTGTATATCTTTTATTCTGATTTTTTTCTTTTTTTTTATACAAGTAAAAGCTTAATTGGAACATCTGTTTAATGGTCTCATTATCTAAATGTCACAGTTTTGGTTCTTTTGAGTATTTCAGTTTTCCTTTGTTCCATGTTTTCTAGTCTTAGTGTTTTAATAGGCTCTATGCACAGCTCCACTACTTCCTGAATTTAAGGCAGCTCCTTTGTTTCCTGTCTTTCATGATTGGATGCACTGATTAATCCAGGTGTGTATGACCTAAGTAACTGGCCAGACACACCTGGATTAATCAGTTCGTCCAGTAATGAAAGACAGGAAACAAAGGAGCTGCCTTAAATTCAGGAAGTAGTGGAGCTGTGCATAGAGCCCATTCTGATTTTGCTGTGTTTTCTGGTTATTTTCAGTTTTCAGGTTTTTATTTGTTGCCTTCTGCTGCCCTCTTGTGTTCTCCTTTTTCTCTAGCTCCTTTCCTGTCTGCTCTGTTCACACCTGCTCCCAATCTGCTCGTTAGCCCTCTCTTTGTTTCAGTCTCCCATAGATTACTCTCTCTGTGCAGTTCTTCGGTGCTGGTTCCTCGTCTTACTTCCTCCAACTCCGTCTCTCCCAGTCTACCTCCTCGGGATTTTTCCCCCCCAGATGTCTCATTGGTTTCTGGTTTGTTTGACTTTGTTTTCATGTTTGATTTTTTTTTTTATTCCTGCCTCATTTGTTTCTTAACTCTTCATTAAATCCACAAGAATCTCGCCTCTGCATTTGGGTCCACAAAGATCAACCAGATCCTGACACTAAAGTCCTTTCTTTTTCTCTCACAAATGTTTCTATTTTAACCATATTGCTTTCATAGGTCTAAAGGAGGTCAGTTTTGGACGATTTCAGTCATGATTTGTCAAAATGCTAATCATCACCCAGAGCATCTTCTCCTTCTCGGATATTTCTTTTTATCTAAGATCTACTGGAAGTTAAATGCACTTTATGATGTTTACAGTCTTTGAGAGGGAAACCAGCCCACAGCATTATAGAACCTCTGCTGTAATTGACAGTGGGCATGAGTTGTTTGGTTTGGTTTTTTGTCATACATGCTGTTTTCATTCTTAGGTTCACCTCAAACCCATTAAAATGTTGTCTCTGAAAAGCTGTAATCTCTTCTGACTAGAGAACAGCATCATTTAAAGTCTTAGCAAACTTCCTCAGATCAGTGAAAAGATTTTTTGAGCTTATCCACCAAAGGCCATAGGCCTTGTAGATATGGCCTGTAGATAGCTTCTAATTGATTGTACTGAGACTTGGTAACCGAACATGCCAATCTTTGCTCTCCTGGAAAGTTTTATTTATTTATTTTATGTCAATTAGTACCCCTTTACCTCCTTCACCATTTTCCTGATTTTGCATGTTTTAAGCTTCTTGAGATTTGCTCTGACTGCACATATGTGTGGATTTTATCATGTAGAAATGTTCTTATGGCTATTTTCTAGCTAGAAAATAGGCAATCAAAATTCAAATCATATTTCAGTCATTTACTTTATTTATTTCCATTAATATTTGCATGTTATCATCCACAGAGCATTTAAATACAGAATTGAATAAGG